TATGGTTTGCGTTTATCTCCGTCTACATCGACTGCTCTGCATGCCTTCTCAGATTCCGATTGGGCCGGGTGTCCAGTTGACCGAAAGAGTACAAGTGGTTATGCTGTGTTCCTTGGTACCAACCTCATCTCGTGGGTATCCAGAAAACAGCGTACAGTTGCCAGATCGTCTACTGAAGCAGAGTATAAAGCTCTTGCAGATGTATCCGCAGAGGTTACGTGGGTTGTGTCTCTTTTACAGGAACTGGGCTTACACTCTGGTCAGCCGTCTACTCTGTGGTGTGATAATCTGGGCGCCACGTATCTCTGTGCTAATCCAGTTTTTCATGCTCGAACAAAACATGTGGAAATAGATTATCATTTCGTACGAGACAAAGTCGCATCTGGGGATTTTGTTGTCAATTTTGTGTCTACTAAAGATCAACTTGCAGACATTTTCACCAAGCCACTCCCAGGCCCGCGCTTCCAGCTTCTTCGTGACAAGCTCAATGTGGTAGCACACCCACCTTGTGCTTGAGGGGGTGTGTGAATAATATGTTTACTATTATGATTATATTCCTCTTGTAATAAAGTATTTAATATGTGGTGTTAGACTAGTCAGCTTAGAATAGTCTATTAGTCAGGAGACTTTTACGTGTAGCTTTTATCTATAGCATTAGTCTCTCTGTAACTGATTTTGAAATTGAATCACATTTCATCACTCTCACCTCAATCTTTAATAATAGATTAGTCTCAGTATTGGGATACAACCGTACAATCTTTTTTTTTTTTTTTTACTATTGGTTAGATGAATGGAAAATATTACTCTTACTCTCAAATTACACTTCCTCTCACAAAATTTTGATTTTGATATTTTCCAGTGTTGCAAAAATCGCGCCTAGGCGCCGATTAATCGGCGCTTAGGCGCTAGGTGGCCACCGGCCACCGCAAGGAAAGCCGGATTCGGCCTCCTCCGCGGCGGGCCGGTTAGGCGGTCTAGGCGGCCGCTTAGCCACCGCCGATTTTTTTTTTATTAGAATTTTGAGTTAAAAACTTTGCGAAGGCGTAACTTTTGATTCGGTTGCGAAGGTGTAACTTTTGACTCGATTGTCCGTTTATGTATTTAGATGGTTTAAACAATCTTTTGAACAATTTTACAACCACTTACGTAAATAGTTTGTAAGAAATAACTATGGGAACCTTATGTTTTATTAGTAAATTTTGATAATTTTTAATTTTTAATTTTTTTAATTAAAAAAAAAATAAAAAATAAAAAATTAGCGCCCTAAGCGCAAGACATCCCCTTGACATTTAGGAAGCGCCTAACGTGTTTTGCAACATTATATTTTCATTAGAACCCACAAAATAAATATAAGTAATCATTATTGTCCATAAATAAGGAGATAACTCCATATGAATTGTGATTCTCGTGATGCATCCTCTGATCGACTGATCCTCTGACACGATTAGTTTGAAATTGACGTGTTAACATAAACGTCTAATCAACCATATTAATGTAGGCAAAAACAAAAAAAAAAAAAAACAAAAACAAAAACAAAAAGGACATTTTTCCAATACATTTGGCATTTTGGCATCCTGATACAAATAAAATAAAAGAAAGAAAACAAAATTAAATAAACTAAATAAAAAAACAAAAAAAAAAACTAAAAAAAAAAACTAAAAAAAAAAAGTACAAAAAGCTGCCGCAATGCGGCAGCTTTTTGTACGGTTGCAAGTTTACATGCAGAGCAAACTTGTAACCCACCTCACTATTTAAATAAAAAGAAAAAAAACAAAAAGCATACATGGCATTGTCCAACTCATCTTGCCAATATGATATTGGCAGGAGTAAGGAAACAAAAAGGACATTTTTCCAATACATTTGGCATTTTGGCATCCTGAAGCTTTCCTTACTCCTGCCAATATCATATTGGCAAGATGAGTTGGACAATGCCATGTATGCTTTTTGTTTTTTTTCTTTTTATTTAAATAGTGAGGTGGGTTACAAGTTTGCTCTGCATGTAAACTTGCAACCGTACAAAAAGCTGTGCGGCAGCTTTTTGTACTTTTTTTTTTTAGTTTTTTTTTTTTAGTTTTTTTTTTGTTTTTTTATTTAGTTTATTTAATTTTGTTTTCTTTCTTTTATTTTATTTGTATTTTGTTTTGTATTTTGCGTTATTAATTTTTTTATATTTAATGTGTAATATTTTTTTAAAATTACGTGTCTAAAATTTATGTTGATAAAGATACATTTTTTTTTGTAAGATTGATATACATACATTCATTACTATACATAAATTAATTCATTAATACATACATTTAGTTTTTCCATTAATACATACGTAATTAGTTATTTTCACATTTGTTATATTTAATATTTAAATATAAGTTATATATTGATATAAATAAATAATGTTGAAGACAAAATAATATTTATTAAGAAAAAAATATTAATTTTTTAAAGTAATGTGAAATTGGGGCCCACTTTTGAAGGTTGATTGGATTTGCAGGGATGTAGTGTGAATAGTAGATAATTTGCAAATGGGATGATGTGGAAGTGGGACCCATTTTTGAGAGTGGGAGATGTTTGCAGGGGTAAGGATTCATCACTTGAATACAACAGTTTTTTTTTTTTAATAGGAAAATGACAAAATAAGTTGGATCTCTAATCAATTGTCAAAATCAGGCAAATAATTAAGAGTAAATACTCAAAATGGTCCCTCGACTATAGCTAAATTCACAAATTGGTCATTGACTTTTAATTTTAACTAATTAAGTCCTTCGTAAATGTCACCGCATTTTTTTAAGCTATTAGATCAGGACACGTGTCGCGTGCTGATTCGTTCGCATATTCCTTCCTGGACACTTATTCGCACCTGAGTGCATCCCTATATATATATATATATATATATATATATATATATATATATATATATATATATGTATATATATATATATATATATATTAATTTATTGAAATATATTAATTTATTATTGTTATGTGAAAGTATGATCAGTTTTTAAACTGGGAGAGTATTTTAGAGAAAATGTTAGCCTAAAGTCAAATGACTGGCGAATACACCTCCAAATAGCACATGTAGATTCTTCCATGTATCAAATAATTAACATTTTTGTCCCTATCATAAACTAGTTTTGCTACAATCATAACAATTAAATGACTAAATTTGTATATGTGATGACACATATAATTGAAGAATCAAATTAACTATTCACCCACTATTAACAACTAAAACTTTGTCCTTGTGAACAAAAAAAAAAATTGAATAATATATTCAAAATTTAGAATTCTATTACAAATTCAAAATTCTATTACAACGAGTATAAATGCAGTGTGGGTACAAGATTTCTGGATGTCCTCTTATTTTGTAATTGGATGCCTTGAACACTCCACCACTGAAGGGCTTTTGAAATTCAGGTGGCTTGATCTACAAAGAAAAACTTATATGTTTGTTCTTCATTGAAGAGCCTTCGGATTGAAATGGTTTGATCTTCAATTGAGGTTTGGATCAACAAGCATGATTGGAGGATGTACTTTTACATAATATTTTCAGAATGTTTACATTATTATTTCCTACAATGAATACATAGAAATAAGAGCTCCACAGGAGGATAGAAGAGTTTTAGGTTCAAATTCTTTTGATCTAATCTAATTAACAAATTAGATAATATCAATATTATCCAAAATATTTCAAATATACTAATATTAAAAACTAAATATATTTATCAAAATTTTAATGTCAACCATCATTTCCCTTTCTCTATTTTTACTGTAATCTCACTTCTTACTATTTATTTCTCGATACAACAATCCATTATTAGTAAAATGATGATCTACATTTTGCTCCCAAACGCTTTGTGGAGTTAGGGTTTGAGGGGCCATTGGGATTGGAAATAATCCTTTTTGGAGAATAATAAAAGTAACGTGATGTCTCAAAAAAAATGATCGAGCAGTGAAGCATAATTCACGTATTTAAAAAGTAAAATCCAACTCTTGTTGATATTCTTGAGTAGTGACAGTAAATTTCCTTGGCTACCCAAAAAGTGACGATAATGTGATGAAAATATATACTTCTGAGTAGGGGTGGGAATAGGCCAGGCGGCTTGTAGGGGCCTATGTCCAGGCCTAATTAAAGCCTAGTTAGGCCTAGCTCGCTTAGTAAAAAGGCCAGGCTTGAGCCAATTTCAAAGCCTATTAAACTAAACAGGCCAGGCCTATATATACCAGGCTCGGCCTTCAGGCCTATAGGCCTGGCCTATATATATATATATATATATATATTATTTAGAATTTAACCCCAAGTATATATAATTACCAAACCCTAATCCTGCACCTCCAAAATTTCATTCTAAATTATGACTCAACTATCAACATTGCTGTTAATCCTGCTATAAGTGTTTTTATTGTGTAATTTTTTTTATTAACTATTCTTACTATCATAATATTTAATGAAATGTCACAACTTAATTATGTCAGTTGATTGTTAATTATTTACGATATTATATAGGATAACAAACAATAATACAATTGAATTTATTTCTAAACAAGTTAACGAGCATGCTGGAGTCGTGACTTGTTTTGTTTTATTTTATATTTATTTGCTATTACGTTTGCATTGTGGTGATATACTTATGTAATTATGTATTAGTTTTGTATTAGATACATTTCTTATATTATTTAGATATACTAAAGTTTTTAAAAAGTCTTAACATGTAGGCTTTAATGGGCTCAAGTTAGGACTTACTTTGAAGCATTTTTAATGACCTAAATATTAAACAGGCTTTTAAAAAGGCTTCAGGCCAGACCAGGTTAATTGCAGGCTCAGGCTTGAGCCTAACAAAAAGCCTACATACAGGCTCAGGCCCGAGCCTAGGCCTTAGATATTTGTAACAGACCCAGGCTTAATTTTTCAAAGCTCGGCTCGACTCGGCCCATTTCCACCCCTACTTCTGAGTTCTTAGTACACAATAAATACTTAGGCAAACTCAACACCCAACGCATTCTCAAGAAACAAGTGGTTAGTAGCTTCCAATTCTATCACCGCATCAAAAATGGTAATTTCATTACAATATATTTATATATTTATATAAATAATAAATATATTAAAGAAAAAAGTCAACAAAATTCAACACACAACATTAGATGTCAGTACAAAACCACACATTTATTTTCCGATCACCGGAGTCAGCAACCTCCGTTATCCACCGCCGGCGGATGGCTATCATTTAATAGCCTTTCCTGGGCCTTAGATTCCTGTCACGTCCACAACCAAAAATAATCAATATAAAGACAAATAATATAATAACAATAAGACAATAATGGAGTCAGATAAAATTTATGAAGTCATTCAATGTCTCTCTTAATTCCGACCTGTTTTTTCCAGTCGGTGAAGATGGTGATGAGTGCCAACACAACATTCTGAACCAAAGACGCCAAGTTCAACCCCATCCACAGCCCCATCCCTCTCAGACTCGTCAGAAAACCCAGCATTCCGGCCGCCGGAGCTCCGACAAGATAATACGCCCCGAGGTTCACATACGCGCCCAAATGCTGCCACCCGCTCCCTCTCGCCACGCCGGAGAGCAGCCCCGATATGCCGTCGGAGACCAGCATCAGGCTCACCAGAGGAATCATCTTTTTTATGTAATCCACCACCTCTGTCTCGTTGCTGAACGCATATCCCACCACACTCCTCAGAGACATCAGAACCACCGCCGCAACCACCAGCTCTATCATCCCGATTATGGTCACCCCCCACACCGCCATTCTCGCTAAATCCGTGTTCCCCGCCCCCAGCTCATTCGAGATCCTGGTGCTGTAAACCAAAATAGTGATAGTTGATTGTTCTGATACCAAATTGAAAATAGAAATAAAATTATTGGGCCGAGAGCGGTAAAAGATCATGGCCGGGGATTGTTAAGGGTAAAGGCCAAGTACAACCCCAGTGTCTCTGAACTAAAATTGTACATTCGTCACTAGCTATAACTTTTGATGTAAGTGGTAAGTTTGGATAGCAACAATAACATTTAAGATTGATTGGTGCTGGGGTCTGGGAGGAGAATTGTTAGGCACCCAGTGTCTCGAAAATGTGTGGTGTGGCATACCAAATTGAAACAAAAACACTCATTGAATCATTTGTAGCTTACCTAGCTCCAGCTCCAATGGAAAACGGGATGTAGAAATGCAGTGAACAGATCATGAGGCTGCAGATAAAGATTGTCAAGAGCCATGAGCAACCATGTGTATATGTATGGATGAAAGAATGGAAGGATTAGAGGGGGCTGAAGAAGAATATATACCATATGGAGAGCACAGAGGTCTCAACTTGAGGATTTGGCAAGAGACCACCAAGCAAGATGACAATTTCAAAAGTCCACCATTCAAGGCTGCAATCATGTCCCAAACACATTAAACCAAGCCCAAATTAACAAAAGCGTGAGTTAAAATTGGAAACAATAATTTCTTTTGGAGTTACCAAGCCATGCTTGCAGAAGGGATGGCCAAGCGGAAGAACTCCCCAACACGAGCAAACGAATCGTTCCACAAGCACACCCGAGACTTCTCACAGGACGAAGAATATTTCACATACACAACAAGCAGAATCACATTGAACCAGTAGGACAAGCCAATTGCCAGGGCGGGTCCTGCACTTCCCAAACCCGACCTGAACGATAACGCCCAGCAAACAGGAATATGGAAGCACAAAGACAAGGCCGAGCTTAGCAGCATTGGAACAATCAAGCTCTGCATCTGCAAGTAGCGCACCAGGCACTGGAGAATGGCATAAGGGAAAATGGCAGAAATGAGCCAAACTGAATATTTGCCAGCTTCTGCAGATATCAGGGGGTCTTGGCCTACAAAGATTAGAAATTTGTCCATGAAAACCCATAGAATTGAGATTGGAATTGCCACCACTGTGAGAGACATGATAGCCCCATAAGTATAAGTCCCTAGCTTGTGGTATTGCCCAGCCCCATATGCTTGCCCACAAAGCGTTTCCAATGCACTTGCCATTCCAAACTGTTCACCAAAACATCAAGAACCATTCAGTCATGACACATCTCTTCTATGGATCAATTTTTATCATCTAAGTATTTACCTTTTACTATTCATGGATCAAATCAACTTTTTTTTCTTTGTTTATTTCTTTTAGTATTATTTACTTATTATTGAATTTAACTTTTTGTGTTTAATAATACTAGTTTCTAAATATATAAATTTTGTATACTAATAGTAAATTTAATATTATAAAAAATTGAATTAAAAATAATTTTAGACCAGCCTTGTTAACCGAACTAGACACAAAAAATAGGACACAGAGAGTATGTTCTAAGGTTGGTCAAAGGCAATCATGACTTGCTTTTTGTACATGATAGCAAGGTGGGTCATGGTTGAAACTAAATCCAAACAAGATACAAATGTTTTGTGAAATCCGTAATCACTATTTGAGAGTGTGCACAAGTAAACCCAGTTCTGTAATCCTAATCGGTAAAGAATCACAATAAAGAAAAAACGAGAAGACCAATAGACTGCTCTGGCAAAGTGCAAATGTTGTGTTTTGAAAAGGTGGCACAAAGCATAGGCAATTTCCAAGATTTATAAGCTTTTTTTTTGTAACCAAAGCATAAATAAAGGTAAAAAAGTGAAGCAAATGCAGCAAGAATGCTGAGAGGTGGAGAGATAGAGGGGTTTACAATGAGGCTGAAGCCGGTGACGTTGGTGAAAGAGGTGGCGACGGCGCCGCCGGAGAGGGAAAGCTCGCTGATGTGTCCCAACATCATCGTCGACACGAAAATGACCATCTGCTGGCAAACCGTGACCACCAACATGGGTATGGCTATGCGCGCCAGCTTCTTCAGCTCCGCCAAGAAAACATCCTTGCTTATCGCCGCCGCCGGCCTCTTCTCCGACAACAATGGCACCTCAGCATCCATCTCCGGCAACAAAAAATTAACTCTCTGATCTCCACCACCCGCTCCCTTTGACGAAAAGGGATGCGGAAAACAACGAAATATATAGGCGGAATGGAGTTTTTTGCACTTTTAATCCCAGGACTATAGTGACACCGGCAGAATTGATCCACGACTTTTGAACCTTGCAATTTTAGTCCACGACTATTGATTTTTTTGCAAAAATGGTCATTCCGGCCACTTTTCCGTCAAAATTTCACCGGAAAAAAAATATTCTTCATTTTTAGCCAGGTTAAAATTGACATTTTACTTATCTCAACAAATTAAAAGAAAAAAATTAATATTTGACTACATACAATATTACTGGGCTACATACTACTGTCCCAGACGGCGGAGTTCCTGGAGCAGGCAGGGCTGTCAGTAAGCGGCGGAGCGGCCGTGGCGTTCCCCGGGCTAGTTGGGTTATCCGGCAACAGCTTTGGACTGGTACATGTACTCCGCCGCCGCATTTAACCCAGCTAAAAATAGAGAATTTTTTTTTCCGGTGAAATTTTGACGGAAAAGTGGCCGGAAGGACCATTTTTGCAAAAAGATAAATAGTCGTGGACTAAAATTATAAGGTTCAAAAGTCGTGAATCAATTCTGCCAGTGCCACTATAGTCGTGGGACTAAAAGTGCAAAAAACTCAGGCGGAATGGGCAAGAGGACTATCACTTTCCACGATTATTTTAATGGGATGGGATTTGTAATAAAATTTTCTAGAAATTCTACTCGAAAGTTGAATGATTGACTCGCCGTAGGAAATGGATCCAGACCCACTTTACCCTTTTCAAACTATAAATGTCTCCCGATCGAGGCCGGCGTAGGCGTGATGCGTGTCAATTTTGCGTGACGCATCTGCGGCTGGAGCCCTATTTTCAACTCATTTTCAATGCAACAATAAATTTTGTTTGATCCATTCCGGAACGGGTGGACGAGTGGGTAGAAAATGAAATTTTTGTTGACACTTTTGGTAAATTATTCTGTCAAGGTGGATCATAGTCTATGATATAATAAATGTATAACCATTTGTGTTTATTTGGACCCACATAGTAGCTCAACTCATTCCTAATTTGAAGATTGTATCCTAAAACGCATAGGTCCTGTTTGGTAAAAAATTGGTCTATAGGCCAATTTTGGCATATTTGACCACTATTAATTTTTTGATTTAGTTAAAATATCAATATAAATGTTTGGTTAATTAACTTTTTGCGACTTCAAAAGGCTAAAATTCAAAAGCTACTCCAAACAACTTTTTCAATTAGTTTTTTGAGAAAAAGAAATTATACCAAACAGCTATCAGCTAACAATTAATTTACCCAACACTTTTCTACAATCAGCTAATGTTATCAACTATTTATACCCTTCTAATTAACACAATCAGCTAACAACTAACAACCATTTTACCAAACAGGGCCAGAATCTAATTTTGAAAGCCACAATATAAAAATTTCAGACTTAATCTATTTCTAATGCAGATCGTATGTAATGGTTCTTTAAACCTCCAACTTCCATATGTAATTCTCTTTGTTATGATCTTAATGAATGATTTTTCTGTTTGCTTCAAAAACATTAAAGTAAAAAATTAGAGACAATTCGAAAGAATTTTGTCACACCACATTTACTTGAAGTGGATACAAATCAAATAAGAGCTGATGATTTGATAAATTTCAAGTGGGGCCACCTTTGGGTCATGTGATGATTACGATGTTTTCACATTGCATATGGATCACGTGACCCTCTGCCCACTTTAACCTACGCGGCCAAGTCCAATCGGGTACGCCTCCCGGTTTGTTACGCTCTATACCGTATCAGAAACGGTTTTAGCTTTTAATATAGGCCATATAAAGTTACTCTTAGGGGCCGTTTGGTTCACAGAATGTTAGATTACCTTAGGGAATGTTAGATTGCTGGGAATGTTAGATTACTGGGAATGTTAGATTCCTGTGTTTGGTTAAGATTGAGGTATATAATATAATCATGTTTGGTTTAGGGTTATCTTTATATATATATATATATATATATATATATATATATATATATATATATATATATAAAAGCTAACATAAAATATATATTTTTAAATAATTAGAATGAATTGAAAATAGCAAAATTTATAAATATCCAAGGTTATCTCACATTACCTAAGAAAAGGAAGGGAATCACATTCCCTTCAAAATCCTATGTGGAGGGAATGTTCCATTTCCTGGGAATGTTATATTCCCTCAGATAGTATGAACCAAACATAGGAATCTAAGCTCAGGAATGTCACATTCCCATGGTTATGTAATATAACCTGAACCAAATGCCCCCTTAATGTATATTTAAATAATTTTAAGTAATTTATTTTATTGGTAGACACAAATTTTATCCAAAGACATAAAGCATTGAAATGACGTGATGTTTCTTATATGATTTAAAAAGAACAAGACAACAAGAACGTGGGAAACAATAGGAGTATTTAATAAAATCTTTGTCAATTAAACTTGTTTCTACAATTTGTATTCGTGACACGTGTCGGGTCAAGATGTAAATACAATACTTATGCTGAAAAATGTAATACTAATTATAAATAAATTGTTTGTTACTTATAAGGAAAAATGTAGTACTTTTGAAGAGAAATATAATACTTTTAAATTAAAATGTAATATTTAGGGGTTTAACAGTTACTTATAAAAAATGTAATACTAAACATGATAAATTGATTGATTGTTATATATTAGAGAAATTTTAATATTCATGATATAAAAAAATGATACATTTGATTAAAAATGTAATATTTTTTAAATCAAAATGTAATATTAGAGGTTACGTTCAAGAGTTGCTTATGAAGAAAATTTGTAATATTTATGATGAAAAATTGTAATATTAAAAGATACGTGAGACGATTTTATAGGAGATTTTTTAAAAAAATAAATAAATAAAAAGTAGTTATACTTTTTCACACACATGCTTTTCAACTTCATATATATATATACTTTGAGATTTAATTGTTTATTGACGTACTATTATTCATTTTGGATGTATAAATATACAAAATTTATCTTCTCACAATCGGTTTCACTTACTCCAAATTGATAACGAATACATCTAAAATTTAAAATTAATACCTTAAGATGTTAATTAATTGTTACTTAGTTTTTTTCCAATATATTATACCCAATGCAAAAGCCATTCTTATTTATCACCATTACAAACTTTCCCAATAATTGAAGGACCATGATGTATTCATGTACACCAACACAATAACATATTCCTTAAAAAATTATTTGTGGCCGTTTAACGAGGCGTGAGATCTTCAATCATTGCACTTGTTGGAATTAATTACTATAGAGTAGATGAAATGAATCCCAATAAAATTACGGCGATCGAATCCAACCATTTATGTAACCTAATAATTAATTAATTAAGGAATAATAGTCAAATAAAATCACGAATTGCAAACAATAATACAATTAGGTCACTGAATTTAAAAAACAACAATTGAGTACCTAAACTAACTAATTTTATGCAATTACTTCAATTTATAAATTTTTCAGGTTACTAGCTAACAGGTCACCCCATATTAAAAATATTTTTTAAAATTTATTATTTAAATATAATTATTAAAAAAGAAAAAGAAAAAGTCTCCACCTGATATGAGTTCTTTTTCTTTTCTTATATTTTTTTTAAAAAATAATAATAATTTTTTTAAAATAAATATTTTAAATTTAGGGTGACTGTACCGTAACCTGAAAAATTTGTAAATTAGATTAGTGATGAACTTGGTTAGTTTAGGAACTTAATTGTTATTTATTCGGGTTCAGTAGCCTAATTATATTATTGTGTGTAATTTGATAATCTATTTGACATTATTTCATTAATTAATAACGTACTAACAAAAAAGGTTATTCCCACAGTAGGTCAAACTTCTTTTTCCATATATGTACTATATAAATATAATATTATATGTGGTGATTTACGAAAAGACATACCACGTTTTATTTGGCAGAAAGAAAGTTGGATTGGCATTCATTAATTTCACATTCATTAGTTGCGGTGTTGATTGTTTGTTTCCCACGTTCAATCAAATCATCTTCCCCATTCATTCACACGTTAGCTGCATGTGTTAATTTGTTATTCGTCCCATGCTTATGAATTCATTAGCCTTCGATCCTTAACGGGGCACCGTTTGGTAGAGAAGAGAGAATTAGGTGAAAAAATTATTTTAATTTTTGTTAAAAAATTAATAAGGTGAAATTCAATTTTCGATCTATTGTATGATTGATAAGAATAGAATTGTTGAAAATTGAAATATAAGAAGTGAATAAAAACTAAAATACCTTGTATAATAATAATAATAATAATAATAATAATAATAATAATAATAATAATAAAGGTAACATATTGTAATTTACTATGAAATTTCATTTTCACAGTCTGTGGAATTGCAATTTCATGTTTGGAAGAAAACACAATTCCTCTATAGAATTTGGTAGGAATTGAATTGCAATTTCTTTCTATCAAACACTCCATTATATCACCTTACATTGAATTTGTTTCACATCATCGACATATATATGGATCAAATGAGAGCGTGATCCTCTGTAAAAAGTATAGATGAAGCTCACATATTCTTATACATTTATCACGGTTAAGAGTTTTAGTAAAACAAAATATGTGGTCAATTTTACAAGTATTGTAAACTTTCAACTATATAATATGAGGAAATTTCAATTTTGGTCATATGACTATAGGGACCTTGTTAATTTCAGGCCCTGACTTTTAAAAGTGTCAATTTAGTACCTTAACTATGCAATTTTTGTCAATTTTGGTCACTCCGGCCAAATTGCCGGCCAAATTTCGCCGAAAAATTTTAATAGTTAAAATAATGAGGGTATTTTGGTCATTTCAAGCTTCTTTTCTTCTTCTCCGGCGAGTCCATCCCTTTCTCTCCCGTTTCCGGCGTTCTTTCTCCTTGTAAACCCTATCTTTAATATCATCAAGCCTCCTTTCCGCATCAACTTAGTTCATTGCATTCGCTAGAAACGGGGGAGGAAGTGATGAACTCGCCTGA